GGGCCGCGATGCCGCGCCCGGGGGGGGGGGGGGGGGCTCCAGGGTCCGGACCTCGTCGGCGCGCACCGCCTCCTCTTGGCAAGGCAAAGGACACTAGGACAGCGGGCTGATTCCGCACAGCGACGCTTTCGCCGCTCCGTCTCTCTCGCACCCGCAGGGAACGCCCCACGAGAGCGAGAGAGACAGAGCTGGCTGACGGTGCCCCAGTTTCGCGTCAAAGGGCGCGCGGTCCGTGCCAGGACAGAGCCAGGCCCGCCGCCGCCAGGCCACGACAACAAGGAACAAGGCCCAGCCCGGCGACCCTCCCACGGGACGCCGAGCCGCGCCGACGCGCTGAGGGATAGGACTCGCAGGGGACGCTCCTGGCCGCGCCGGCGAGGGGGTCCTTTTCAGGTGCGAAGCCCGCCCGGCCCGAGCGAGGCACCACGCAGTACCAAAAAGAAAAAGAGGAGCATGAAAAATGAACGAATGAGCAAATTGCCCCTGTAGAAACCGCGGAGAAACCCTCAAGCAGAGGCACAGCCACACGCCACAAAGGAAAACGCGACTGCCCCGCCAGGACGCCGCGCCGCGTCGCCGATGTAATCGTGCCTCCTCTCCTCCAAGCTCATCCTCATTCTAATGACGGCCACACCACGCGGCCATGGGGCGGCGAGGGGGCGGCGCGGGGGCGGCGCGGGGGCGGCGCGGGGGCGGAATGGTACTGCCTCCCTCTCGCCCCGCGGCGTGGCGGCGGAGAATCAAATTGAGGTCCGCACACAGGCTGGCTGGCGGGGCGGGGAGGCCTCCCTCGGCCATTCCGCCTTACTCCTCCAGCCTTCCACCTCGCGCACCCTCCTTTATCTTGCCCCTTTTTTGGGCCGACAGTTTTGCTTGCCTGTTTTTGTTTTGTCTCTCGCGGTAAGCCTCGCACGCACACGCGCGCGCGCTCACTCACACAGACAGCCAACACACACGCACGGCGTGCTGCGCCCAAACTACGCAGTAGTCGGTGAAGACACTGGAAGCGCACAACTCGCGCGGTGTCTGCTGCCCGGACAAAGCAGTCCCGGTGCCGTCGCGGGCGGCCGCGGGGCCCTCGTTTCAATCGGGGGTACATCCATCCGCGGCTGGAGCCTGCCGAGCCTGGAGCCGCGCCTGGAGCCCGGCCAGCCGGAAGATTGATTCAGACACATAAGTAGGCCAGATACTTACGTGGGGCTAGCGGCACTGCCGGCGCGGGGGGAATGGCCAAAACATTGCGACGCCCGCGGCGAGGCGAGGGCGGTAGGGCGGGGGCGCAGGACAGCTCGAGCGGGGGAGGGGGAGGGGGGGGACTCACAAAGGGGCGGCGAGGCGCGCGGCACAACGCGGTGCGAGTTCCAGCTCCAGCCGGGCGGCGCGGTCTGGCGGACTGGCGGACGCGGAGCCACCCTGAGCGGGCCGCGAGCGGGGCGAGACTAAGCCCGCGTCCGCGCCGACGCCCGGCCCGCCTCCCACCGCCCACCACAGCCACCCCACGCCCCGCGCCCCGCCCGCCCCGCTCCGCCACCACGCTGGCTGGCGGAACCTACCCCTGCCCTCCCCTCCCCGCAACGCCACTGTGAGCTGGAATTCCGGCCGGCCGCGTGGAGCGGCGTGGAGCACACCCAAGGGGTGGGCCTAGGGGTGGGTCGGCGGAAGCCTCCGGGTGGCAGCCCGGCCCAGCCCCCTTCCCCAAGACCCGGGACAACCAGCAACCCGGGGGTATGCAACCCCCAGCACGCCACGGCACTGCTCACAGCCCCCTTGACACACAAACGACCCTCTCGGCCGCCCGCGACAGCTTCAACAGAAAAGTGCAAATTTCGTTGTTGACCTTCGAGCTGCACATGCGGCCACCTAGTCCTGGCAACAACAAGCAGGCCCCATCAAGAGACACGGGCGGCCCGTGCCCTGTGATCCTCCACGAATCAGAGCGACATTCTGCCGGCCGACAGACGTCACAGCCACCGATGACAGGGCGCGACGCCGCCGCCAACGCCGCCACCAACAAGGCCGTCAACAACACACCCCTAGGGTGTCCGCCCGGCCCCGCGCCCTGCCCTATATTTACCTGCCTGGCTGGCTGCGAAATGAGGCGGGACGAGGTCGGCTGGGTCGCCGCTGCGCAGGGTGGCCGCGTGCGCACTATCACTGGAAAAAGATAAGCGGTGCCGGGAATACCCCACGCGCGGCGCCTGGCTCGGCCTGCCCTCCCTGGAGGTCGCGCGGCTGCCATCGGCTGCCATTGGGAGTCCCTCTTGCGTGGAGAAAGCGACTCGCCGTTTGTCGAAGAGAGCGTTTCAACACGAGTCGATCCTCGCAGAAACATTTTTGCCATCCTGACTCGGCGCCTTTTGTCCCGTCCATTGAATCGCGACCCTCTAATCCGCCGTCCCGGCCGTCCCTCCCCTCGGAGCGCCAAATGAATGCCATCATTGCCATGCCAATCCCAACGCCAAGCAAACTCTCCATCAACTCAATGATCCCCGTCGCGCCGCCCACCCCTGCCCCGCGGCCCCAGCCCCAGGCATCAGCCCCAGGCCCGCCAGGCCCCAGCCTCAGGCTCCGGAACCAGTGGGTCGGGGCCCTGAAACGCGTCTCCTCCACCCCCGTGCCGTGTGGTGGCGTGGCGTGGCGCGGCGTGGCGCGGCGTGGCGTGGCGCGGCGTGGCTCTCCAGGCGTACCGCCGTGCCGCCACCCCATCGCCTCATCCCGTCGTCGCCGGGCCGCGTTGGCCGCGCTAGCGGGACGGGAGACCCGTTTAGTTTTGTATCGATTCCGCACCGGCTAGCTCTCTCCCTCTCTCTCGCACGCTCTCGCAGCCTCACGCAGGGCCGCGTGCAAAGACCGGCGCCTGCTGTCACCGTCACTCCCTCTCCCTCCGCCTGGTCGGCGGCAGCGAGCGCGAGAGAGACGGCAGACGGCAGACGCCTCCGGGAGCCGCCGGCGCCACGCGCCACCCACGCCAAGGTGGCGTGCGAGAGAGACGGGCGATTCGCAACCGGCGCGACTAGGCGCGACGCAACCCCGGACTGGAGGAGACCGCGAGGCACCGCGGGGTGGATGACCGGGACCGGCCGGTGCTGGATCGGGTCCAGGATTCATCAGAGGCCGACGGTCGGTCAGCTCTACAGAGAACACCGCCTCACGGCTGGGCTGGGCACATAGAAATGGCGCCTGGTGGGACTTCCCAACAGTCAAAGAGATCCCTTCAGTAGAGGAGAGTCATTCAAATCCGGTTCGTTGAAAGGGGGATGTTAGAGGCAGTATCGTCCAGGCTACGCTCATGGCAAGAAAGAGTTTGGACATATACTCGCACAGAACAGATGAATCATATAATCTTCAAACTGCAACAGGGTACTTTTACATTTCATCTTTAGAGGGAAAAACTTGGACAAGAATGCAACAGTTGCAAGTAAACAGACGACATGATAGCAAGAGAGATAAAACTACAAATAAATGTAAATGGGAGTGTTTGAGAAAGCCTAAATACGCATAAACGAGGGAAGGTTCTGATTCTGATACATCAAGATGTCCTCAAACGCAACAAACATAAGGAAAACAAGGCAGATCAAGAAATGCCGAATCTGTAGGTCAAGCTGTCAAACGACAATAGACAGTAGAAAGGACCTTCTACAGGGACATGTGTATTGAGGTATTCTAATTTCGTTCATTGCCTCACCTTCCTCGATGAGTTCCTGGCGGGATGATTGGCAGATCCTTCCTCCTAAGGCACCTTGTGTCTTCAGCACAGCAGGCAGCAAGCAGAATGTTAGGTTAACTTTTCAATCAAACCGAAACAACTCAGCACGCAATCGACGCCTCGTTATGGCACTGGTCAGAAACGAAAATTTCAAAAAGAACGAATTGAAGCCTTGTGAAAATTGAAATCACACCTCAACAAGAATTAATAAAAACGTATTTATTGCTGCAAGTACACATCCGCACATGCAAAACACACACGACTAACACGGCTGCAGAATCAACAAGAACAACAACAAAACTTTGTTATGAGCACTACTTTTGGAGAAGTGTGAGTCAAGTTGAGCTTCGTAGATTTGAACACTTGGTCACGGACTGCACCGTTTAATTTAAGAGGGACTGAACATCCGCAAATAACAAATTATATCGTTAGAATTCAAAATCTTGACGCAATACACAACGGAGATTTGAAGCTGCCCGCTAAAATGATGTTATGACGTTTATTCACAGAAGGCGTTGAACGAAGCAGCCAACCACAAAACTATAAATCTACAACTCAACGTGAAATAAGGGCGGAGCGGACGATTTATCCAGGCTCTGTAAGATTAATTTGTTTGACTGAAAACTATTCGTTTCGTCTTATGACATTAGTTTTATCAGAAAAGGATTGCATAGTTTGTCCATTCCAATTTTCATTTTGGTTGTGGTTCTGGACGCCGGTCGGTTTTACCGGACGCCATCTCTTCTGAAACTGAAAAAGTTAATATTTTATCCCTATAATCCTCACTGAAAACGGTACGATTAATTGCTCTTCTGTCATGAGCTGGTTTTAAAATTTTTATTTTGTCTCAGAGCTGCTCTTATTTTTGTAGTTTTTGTGTATTTGAAAATTGTTTGGTACCTGTGTTGGAGAGGTTATGCTTTGCCTCCTAAATTGTGAGTTTGATAATACAGTTGTCAATTCAATGTAATTTTCTGATAGTTGTTTTGTAAATCTCTTGGGGCTCACTGCTTCATTCTAATTGTGCTCATGAGCGTGCACTTGTAAACTAGCTCCAAACACCCCTCTGTTTATTGTTGGGTACTAACCAATAAGTACAGTGCTAATTCATTATTTGTTTTAATATCTATTTACCCGTTGCATAATCTGTAAATTGCAAGTCTTGATTTTTTAATACATTGTTTTTCTTTCCCTTTTTTCCTCCCCAGATGGACGCAAGTTGTTTGTGCAGGCAGTAATTTACTGACATTTAATAAGGGTTCCCGTTGTGATTGTATTCAACCAGCACCTCACGATGCATCTTTACAATCTGACCCTCCAAAGGGCCACGGGCATTACCCATGCAGTCCATGGCAATTTCAGTGGCAGTAAAGTCCAAGAAATTGTTGTTGCAAGAGGCAAATCTTTAGAATTGCTGAGACCAGACCCGAACACAGGCAAAGTGCATACACTGTTGACAGTGGAAGTTTTTGGCGTTGTTAGGTCTTTGATGTCCTTTAGATTAACAGGTGGATCTAAAGGTATGTGCGTTAACTGGCGAGCAGAATCGTCTCTCGTTGTTATGACTGGCCACTTCATTTCTTTTCTTATGTTGAAGCTGATGTTTCTAAAATATTTGTTTGATTGTAGACTACATTGTTGTTGGGTCTGATTCTGGAAGAATTGTCATCCTAGAGTACCTGCCACAAAAAAATGTTTTTGACAAAGCTCACCAAGAAACTTTTGGAAAGAGTGGATGCCGTAGAATTGTCCCAGGACAGTATCTGGCTATTGACCCAAAGGGCCGAGCTGTCATGATAGGTAAGACCATTTCCTAAGAATTTTTTTGAGGAGACTTCACTCTGCCTTCTGCTCTTATAATAAAACAATTAATACTTACCAATGCTTCCCCATTTATTTTAGGTGCTGTAGAAAAACAAAAGTTAGTATACATTTTGAACAGAGATGCAGAAGCACGTCTCACCATTTCATCACCCCTTGAGGCACACAAAAGTAATACACTTGTTTATCACATGGTCGGGGTTGATGTTGGCTTTGAGAACCCTATGTTTGCTTGCTTGGAAATTGACTATGAGGTAGGTTTTTTTAATGTATTAATTTTGTAAATTTTATTCTTGTTTTTATGTAAGCTTACTTAATGTGGCTGTTCTGTTTTTCAACACTACAGGAGGCTGATACAGACCCCTCTGGTGAAGCTGCAAACAAAACCCAGCAAACCTTAACTTTCTATGAACTTGATTTGGGTTTAAATCATGTAGTTCGAAAATACAGTGAGCCGTTAGAGGAGCATGCAAATTTCCTTATATCTGTGCCTGGAGGAAACGATGGCCCCAGTGGTGTTCTAATCTGTTCTGAGAATTATCTTACATATAAAAATTTGGGAGACCAGCATGACATTCGGTGTCCAATTCCTCGGCGAAGAAATGATTTGGATGACCCAGAGAGGGGCATGATTTTTGTTTGCTCTGCTACACACAAAACCAAGTCAATGTTCTTCTTTTTAGCACAGACAGAGCAGGGAGATATATTTAAAATTACTTTGGAGACTGATGAAGATGTAGTTACTGAAATAAAGTTGAAGTATTTTGATACAGTACCTGTATCATCAGCTATGTGTGTTATGAAGACTGGTTTCCTCTTTGTAGCTTCTGAATTTGGAAATCAGTGAGTCTTTCTTAGGAGCAGGCTTCGCCTTTCAAATTGGGTCTTTTACTTTCTCTGTTAAGTATTAAATGTGGCTTTTGTTCTTGTTTCCTTTAGTTACCTCTATCAGATTGCTCATCTTGGTGATGACGACGATGAACCCGAATTCAGTTCTGCTATGCCCCTTGAAGAGGGTGATACATTCTTCTTTGCACCTCGAGCACTGCGCAATCTAGTTATGGTTGATGAATTGGATTCTCTCTCACCAATTTTAGCCTGTCAGGTGGCTGATTTGGGTAATTGTCATGAAGCTAAAATTATTTTGCTGTAGATTTGTTCAGGTTTCTGACACCATTGTTTTCCTACTGACAGCCAATGAGGACACACCTCAACTCTACATGTTGTGTGGAAGGGGTCCACGGTCCACTCTGAGAGTATTGCGGCATGGTCTGGAGGTATCTGAAATGGCCAAGTCAGAACTCCCAGGTAATCCTAGTGCAGTATGGACTGTGAAAAGAAGAGCTGATGGTAAGAAAACTCCCCAATTTCATTTTAATGTAGTGACTGAATATACCTTACCTATACCTTTCACCTAAATTGCATGTCTTTTAACTATTTTTCAGAGGAATTTGATGCATACATTATTGTATCTTTTGTGAATGCTACTTTGGTTTTGTCAATTGGAGAAACTGTTGAAGAAGTTACTGAGTCTGGCTTCTTGGGTATTACACCCACCTTGTCTTGTTCTGCTTTGGGAGATGACGCTCTTGTTCAGGTATTCATTGACAGTTTGATACAGTTTGCAGATATCATGTGTAATTTAATAATAATTTGACATTTTGTCCATAGGTATATCCTGATGGTATCCGACACATTCGTGCTGATAAGCGAGTTAATGAATGGAAAGCTCCTGGAAAGAAGACAATTATCAAGTGTGCTGTTAACCAAAGACAGGTTGTGATTGCACTTACAGGTGGAGAGCTTGTGTACTTTGAAATGGATCCCGTAAGTATTAGCAGTTTTGGTTTGAGCATTTTCTCAATTTCACGTACCTCATTCTTAATTGAATTTCTTGTAGACCGGCCAATTAAATGAATACACCGAACGTAAGGAAATGCCCAGTGATGTTATTTGTATGGCTCTCGCCAATGTCCCTGCTGGTGAGCAAAGATCACGTTTCTTGGCAGTTGGACTCTCAGACAACACAGTGCGAATTATTTCTCTAGACCCTTCTGTAAGTATCTGTTTTCTTCAATTTATTTTTCATGCAAGTTTCTTTACTTCTTTTCTTGCAACTAAAAGAACAAATCTCCATTTTCAGGACTGCCTGTCTCCTCTCAGTATGCAAGCCTTACCAGCTGCTGCAGAATCTCTCTGCATTGTAGAAATGGGAGGTGGTGACAGAGATACCAGAGACAGGGAGGAAGCCGATACTGGTGGTGTGCAGGGAACACTTTACCTCAACATTGGCTTACAAAATGGTGTGTTACTGAGGACAGTATTGGACCCTGTTACTGGTGATCTTGCTGATACACGAACCCGCTACCTTGGGTCCAGACCTGTCAAACTTTTCCGAATTCGCATGCAAGGAAGTGAAGCTGTAAGTAGAATATATGAAGTTGTAGCCTGTAGCTGTAAGCAAAGTCTGCAGGTTTTTTGTTACTGTTTTTTCTAGGTTCTGGCCATGTCTAGTCGTTCATGGCTTAGTTATTACTATCAAAATCGATTCCATTTGACTCCTCTATCTTATGAGTCGTTGGAGTATGCTGCTGGTTTTTCTTCAGAGCAGTGTCCTGAAGGCATTGTAGCAATTTCCACAAATACTCTGCGAATTTTGGCTCTAGAAAAGTTGGGGGCTGTTTTCAATCAGGTAATCTATTTATGTTGCTCTTTTTCTGTGTGTTCATGAATATTATTGTTATTTTCTTGTCTTGTTTCATTTACAGGTTTCATTCCCCGTAGAATATACCCCTAGAAAATTTGTTATTCACCCTGAATCTTCTCATCTTGTAATGGTTGAAACAGAACATAATGCTTATACTGAGGAAACTAAAAAGCAGCGAAGGATTCAAATGGCGCAGGTATTTAATGAAAATCCACATGTTACTACTTTCTTCAAAGCCTTTTTGTTGACAAGCAATTTTATTTATTAACATAATTGTCATTAAATGGTTACTTCATTTTCCTTCCAGGAAATGCAAGAGGCAGCTGGTGAAGAGGAGCAAGACCTTGCCAGGGAGATGGCTGAAGCATTCCTTAGTGAGGACCTCCCAGAGAGTTTGTTTGGCGCACCAAAAGCAGGCCCAGGAATGTGGGCATCCCTCATCAGAATTTTGAACCCTGTTGAAGGGAGCACTATTTGCAGAGTACCTTTTGATCAGAACGAAGCTGCTCACAGGCATGTTGTCCTTTTCCACTTTTAAATAAATGCGTACTCATAGCCTGTCAAGCGCTCATGTGCTTAAAGGAATTTAAATCTCCTGGATTTTGTACTTATTATTTCCTTTTTTTTTTTTGCAGTATTGCACTTGTGAGGTTTGCCAATACTCCAGATCAACAGTTCATTGTTGTTGGTGTCTCCAAAGACCTTCAATTAAATCCTCGTCAATTTTCAGCTGGCTACCTTCTTACTTACAGGTAATAACTGGTTTATGCTTTTCATAAGCTGAACCAATGTGTCATTCTTTATGTATATGAGTTTTTCTTAATTTTATTATCATTCCCCTTTCCATACAGAGTGGACATAGACTGCACTAATATGGAGTTAGTTCACAAGACTATCCTAGATGAAGTACCTCAGGCGTTGTGCCCGTTCCAGGGTAAACTTTTAGTTGGAGTTGGAAAAATGCTTCGTCTGTATGACATGGGAAAGAAAAAGCTGCTCCGCAAGTGTGAGAACAAGGTAACTTGAAACATCTGAAATATGCTACAATTTCTATTTACATGTTTGAATTTTTTTAGTGACCCATGTATCTTTATCTGTTTTTAGCACATTCCAAATTTGATTGTCAACATTCAAGCCATGGGTAACAGAATATTTGCATCAGATGTTCAAGAGAGCGTTTACATGGTTCGTTACAAGAGACAAGAAAACCAACTTATTATCTTTGCTGATGACACCCACCCCCGGTGGGTCACCTGCAGCACAGTCCTTGATTATGATACTACTGCCGTGGCTGACAAATTCGGCAATATATCTGTGGTCAGTATTTTTTTTTCTTTTTGAAGTAATGTTATATGTATCATGAGGAAAAGTTCCTAGTTAAATTCAAATTGACCTGCTTTTGTTTTCAGATACGGCTTGCTGGTAATGTGAGTGATGATGTTGATGAAGACCCCACTGGTAACAAAGCTCTTTGGGACAGAGGATTGTTAAATGGTGCATCCCAGAAAGCAGACTTTGTTGTTAATTTCCACATTGGAGAAATTGTTATGTCTCTTCAGGTAATAAATAGACATTTGCATTTGGGGGAAAAAAATGGTTTCTTTTGGGAAAAGTGTGGCTTTTATTTTCATTTGTTCTGGTTTTGTAGAAAGCCACTTTGATTCCTGGAGGCAGTGAATCCTTGGTGTATACCACCCTGTCTGGCACAGTAGGAGTGCTTGTTCCATTCACATCCCATGAGGACCAAGATTTCTTCCAACATCTTGAAATGCACATGCGCTCTGAAAATGCACCTCTCTGTGGCCGAGACCACCTGTCATTCAGGTCTTATTACTTCCCAGTAAAGGTATGCTAAGTTTCCTCCTGTTGTGTGTACAACTGAATGTTACTTGCTGACATTAGATTATTTATAACTCTGTCTTTCTTGTCTTACTCTGCAGAATGTCATTGATGGAGATCTCTGTGAGCAATTCAACTCAATTGATCCTACTAAGCAAAAGAGCATAGCGGAGGACCTTGATCGGAATGCTAATGAAGTTTCCAAGAAGCTTGAAGACATTAGAACGAGATATGCCTTCTGATTGAGTTATCAATTACTTAAATTCCAACAATTCATTACTACTTTCAGACAAAACATTTCTTGATGCTTGTTCATATATTTGATTAGACCTCCATGTCACCATTCATCTATGTATATATGTCATCCACTCATCCATTTTTTTTTTTGTATACTTCACTGTTGTGTGATAATGTGTGTCTAGTTTTATAATGTACATATACTTCATCCAACTGAGTAACTTTTAATTTCACCTGTCATCATAGCAAATTTCGATACCAGAAAGTTTTGCTGAAACAAAAAGGAAAAAAAAATGTCAGTTATTGAGCTCTTTAGTTTTCATGAACTCAGGCTTTTAAAGGATTATGGGCAGGAAACATGCTCAGAAACAACTCATGACGGACACTGAAGCTAGATTAAACTCACTATCTTTATTATTTTTCAAAAGGTTTCCGATAAAATCTAAGCTGCCAAGAGGAATGAAATGGAATGAACTACCCCTTACTTTGTGAACTGGGATCACAAAAAAAAATTAAATCATGTAACAAACTGTAAATTGTTCTTTGATTTATAATAAAATAGATAAGAATTTCAAACAGATAATTAAGTCTTATCTTATCATTTTTACTGGCTGCCGTTACACTCCCCATTTATATCAACTTGACTTCAAATGGTAACTTGAATAATATGAAAAGCAATTTTATGCTGGGATAGAAATGAATAAGAAATCTTAAAAACAAGCATTTAGACCAATAATCAGTACATGTCCTTTAACTCTAAAAATATCAATCTAAATCACAGTACATCAGTTTGCCTGGGTCATCCTTGGGCTTTTTAGTCCGATTGGTGTTGTTGAGATCAGAAGTTCCAGTATCACAGGGTATGCTCTGAATCTTCCACCCCTGTGCAGTAAAGCTTTCATAATTTGAGCTGGTTGCATTGGTTGGAACTTCAGGTGGTTTCTGACTAATAAGTTTGCCTTGGCTATGAACTGGGGTAGAGCTCTGCTCCTCAGGGAAACTTTCTTTGTCTAGGCCACTACACGGCTCTGGTGCAACAGGTTTCATAGGTGAAGGTAATAGAAGTTTGGATGTGGGAGATTCAGATGTGTCCAGCAGTGATGCAGGGTCAGGGTCAGGGTGAGGGTCCGTGGCCGGGACACTCGCTGTTTCCGGGCTGCCGTCTTTGTTCTCAGACACAGAGAGTATTGACGGATGGGGAGATACCCCCGCACTACTATCGGCACTCGTGTCAGAAATATCAATGTCATAGTTGACTGCTGATAGACCCTGCAAAAGACGCCACATTCTGGTGATATGTTTCGCAGAGATATATGCTTAACATGAGAAAAAATTAACAAGCACAAACCTGAACAAAATTGAGGCTAGCCTGTGCTGCACACAATTCATCTGGCGTGGCAAGTTCATCAAGAGCAGAGAAACCATAAGTCGATGAAGGGGTCAGAAGAAACTCTTGTGAGTCAGACATAGGAAGAGGAAGTGCACCATCTCCTGGAGTTCGATCAGCACCTAGAGCGTCTAGTTCTGAATCAGATGGGAAAGCATACTTAGTGATACCTGGGAGAATCAGACTCTTCTTCTCAGACAAACTGTTCAACTTTCCAGACTCAGGTGTGTTTTGTGTCACAGGTGCAACAACCTGAAACAATTTTTGGAAATAATTCAGATTTGACAATAAATGAATGAATCACTAATGTAACAGCACACAACTTTAACACACCATAGGAGCAATTGGAGGAGGAAGCAGTTCCAGTAAAGGATTCTCAGTGTCTATATCAGTGGGCACTTTCTCTGTAGAAAGATTAATCTGAGTTTTGGCTAAAATATCATCAACTCTGATCTTAATTTGATGCTGAAAATAATAAATTTTGGTCAGTAATGATCTGATTTTTGTTTTTTTTTATCTCAACTGTTAAGGTCAGAAATTTTTATAATTGAAGGAGTCTTACCGATAAATCTTTCATTTTGTTCATCAGTACATCAGTGTTCTCTAGGACAGAATCAGCTCTCTTATGCATATCGTCAAGTGCCACTAAATGCTCATACATCAAAGAAATGCCCTAAAGAATAACGGAACACACAGTTACCAAAGTAATCAGTATAATTTTTTTGAGATGTATTTTCTGACTTAAAATCTTGGAAAAGGACTTACTTCATACATCATGACGCTTGAATCCCATGTGCTTGTTGGCACCACTTCTCCAGACATATATTGTTCAAATTCATCTTCGGGCAAACTCAAAGATTGTGCTGTCATATTTTCTATGAAGGAAACTGCGCAGCACTATAAAGAGATGTAAGATTGAAATACTATCAAATGCTCTCGTAGATAAGATAAAACAAACGTGACAAAAATTGAGGGTCCATACCAGGTTTGTAAAATAGTATCCTCCTTCACCAGTCATCAAGCGACTTGCATTGCAGAATCTAGTGATGAAATGAATATTGCTTTTCAAACGGGCAGGGTTAGCCTTTAAGACTATGAAGATAAGTGCAGGTAAAAATTCGTCTGCACTTGCTGGGCCTCCGACCGATGATTGTAGTAAGAGAAAAATATTTCTACAGCATTTTACTACAGCTTGAAGTTTATCTTGGGGTGCTTTCTCAGAATCCATTCCCAAAAGATCTAAATTTTTAAAAGAGAGTAAAATTTTTATTGCAAAAACTGTCTGGCATATTGTATTCTATCTAAAAGGTAGAGAAAGGGGATTTACCTGTAAAAGAAGTGTACACAAGGTCACGGACTTCTTTATTAGTTTCATTAATCCGGCAATCCAGGTGTTTGGCGTTAACCCAACTTAGTTGACGAATCCTGGAAAATATTCAATTATTAATCTGACCTAGCCTCAAGTACATGGATGAACAGCACAAAATAAAAATATGCCGAGACTACTTGCCTCTTTTGGATTGCAAGGTCTTTCTCTTCATCTGTAGTAGTTGCCGGGCAAAATAAATTACGGTACAAAATAGTCATCGTAAACTTTTCACAATAGTCCAGCACTTGTTCTTTCAATTCTGATAGGGAAAAGACAGAAATGGAGAGAATAATTATTTAGACAACTATAAAGCAACAGGAGCAGTGATGCAGGCTAAGGCAAACATATACCTTGGTTAATATTTTGAGCATCCATACATTTAGACAGGTTTTGGTAAAACTTTTGAACTTTCTCAGATAACTCATCAATTGACATATTATTAGCATCTGAACACACAGTACGGCAAAGTGCTTGAATATATTTGTTCATATACTGGCTGACTTCTGGTGAAATAGAAGACAACTGCGAAGCATACTCTTGCTTAATACGTTCCACCTCAGGAGATTGTTCTAGCCATGGCTCTGGTAACCGCCCTGAATCTGCAACAGGTAGATATGATTGTGAAAGAGCCAAGAGAAGATTTTCTTCTTCTGGAAGAGCAAGAACAGTTGAGAATGTACCTCGGATACTGGTTGATTTTCGTAAACTGCTAGCAAGTTTACTAAATTTGTTCCTCTTTTCTTGCTGCTGTCTTTGCTGCTGCTTCTTTTCTTCAAATTTACTAAATCGTTTTGCCATAGTAATAGGCAATGGACTATCCTTATCCTGTGACCCTCGAGAAGCACTGAACAAAACATTAATGATTGTTTTGTTAAAAAGGTGACTTAGCACTTGGAATACTTAGCCCTCAAGACCAGAGAAAAAGACTCCTTACCTTTCTCCTCGACTTGGACTCTTTTTCTGATCTCGTTCCTTGTAGTAGCAATGAGAACAGTACCCATCCCATTCGGGATTACCAAAGAAATCACAGCCATTCTTGCACTTCAAATCTGCCTCATCAATGCGTAAAGCTGGGTTCTTTTTGGTAAACATTTTGCAGATCTAAACCTTCAAAAGAGAAATAGAATCACGTTAAAAAATCTTGCCTGGGTTATCTGGAATAAGCAGTAATCGAAATACATCATAAGAGGTAGTGAAAATTTTACAGAAGTCAAAAGAATTTCTTTAAATCTGAAGAGCAAGTCTTCAAGTGCAACACTAGTTTTAATTAAGGTATAACCTACAAATCATGTCCTCACCCAAAATATCTGTCACTTGAAAAACATGCCCAATTTCGAAAGCATCTTACCTGTTTTAACGTGCGATAGACAGCCACCTAAATAATGAGATGAGGTAGAGCAAACCCGTCACGAGTCATCCTGTCCAAACAAGGCCAATCAATGCAACTAACAAGAAATGACAAAATCTTTTCTGATTCACCGAAGCAGACTACACAGCAGCAGTAGTTGTTGTTGCAGCGCAGCTGCTGCAGTGCTGCGCTGCAGTAGTAGCACGATCTTCCGCTGTTTTGTGTTTTGATATTGATTGATAGGGAAACATTTCTAGATAGTGTTTCTTTGCTCAAGTAACTTTTACGGCAGAGTTTTCTACTGCTTAAAGACAAATAAAGGAAATGCACCAACCACGATGACTTAGCGAAGCTGCTTGTTCTGTTAGGTGAAGTCAACAAAGGAGCCGGAACGATAGGTTAGGTCCCGTCACATTTGTTTTCTTAAACTTTTATTTGGCAAGATTATGTAAATTTTCAAACAGCTCAGCCCACTGTCAATTTTATTGATATTTATCTTGTCATTAATAGTCTCCTTGTGCACTGTCACTGCATTCATTTAGCTTCATAATTGCAGCCAAATCTGTAAGGAGAGCGCAGTTCGACTGAGGAAGAAATTTACTAGAAAGAGGTAAACTGCAGTTTGGTCTTGTATTTTTGTCACATTTTTATTATAGTTTCTATTATATTTAAGAAGGGTTTTTGATGAACTATCCTCCTCTATAGCCATAACGTCTCTGCTTATGAGCAGGCTTACTGACAGTCTATCGACTTTTCTCGACAACTGGAATGCATGTCTCTACTCCCTAACTTTTGTTTCTGCAGCATGGGGGATACAGGAGGAGGGCTCAATATGCCATCAACACCTATAGCTCCTGTTGAAGGGTCCTATGAATGGCTTGCCAAAATAGTTTTCAAGGTATTTGAGAAGAGTTTACCTTAAATTTGTTTGACAGAAATAAATTATCTACATTTGTCACTGTTGTGAAACTCATGAATTATCTGGATTGATTTTCCCAAGGATGATGATGTGCTTTCATTGGTCACATCTCCAAAGTCTACTTCAACTACAAGTGGAAGCTTACCGCGAGAATGCAATCCATCTTGTGAGGAGGTGCCAACCCAAGAAAGTGTGTCTTCTGAAACAGATGCAACTACTGACTCCTTATCTAAGGAACAAATTCAAGCCCACAGTGATGCTAAAGAAACCTGCCTAGCTGATGACGCTCAAAAGGTAGACTTGTTCTATTTGAAAAAACTTAAATATTTTTAAAGAATATTTTAATTTCTTTGGGCTTAAAATTTTCTTGTCACAGACTGCAGCAGACCATTTACTCCACGAGATGGATGTAAGGCTTGAATTTAAGGCTCAATTAAGACTTGTCAATCAACGTGCTGCCAATTCTCGACCTGATGAACGTCATTTTGCAACACTAGATTCTAATCTGAAAAGGAACTCAGGCTTTGTGAGGAAACTTGTAAGTTGTCGGGAAAGTTACTTGAAAAAATGTGCTTATTTTTGCTTTCAATTAGGAAATAATTTTTTGTCTCTCTGTGCAGCGTAACTTCACTAATGCTCAACTTGAAGGATTGGTCCGAGATATGTCCACTCTGAATCTCTCAAAATACTTAAGTGAGGCAGCATCAGCCATTGTGGAAGCCAAGCTTAAGGTAAACTTATGTTAGCTACTGCCCAGTTGAGCTAAGTCTAAACTTCTTTTCAGCCTTCTAATGTTTTGCTTCTTTCCAGGTCACAGATGTTGGAGCTGCCGTTGTTATGTGTAGTTTGCTGCATCAAACATATGCTGATTTTGCACCACTTTTGCTCGAAAATTGGCAAAAAGTCCTTTCACTGAAAAAAGATGAAAAGGTTTGCTACTCATTGCTTACGCTATATTCATGTTTTAAGTATCTCTAAACAAAAAGTAATGGTTTGTTTCTTTATCAGGTTGCCAACCCCTCTAAACTACGTGTTGACCTCCGATTATATGGAGACCTTGTGAGTGTCAGCCTTTTTCCTCTTCCAAAGGCTCTCACCCTGTTAGGACAGATCCTATCTTCTTTAATTAATGCTGATAAAGAGGACCACAACAATGCCAGTGTCATACTGAGCTTTTGCAAGCATTGTGGAGAGGATTATGCAGGCTTGATTCCCACAAGTGTGAAAAATGCCGCAACATTAGTGGGAAAGGAGGTTCCTCGTAGTACTCTCCTATTACCTGAAAAGCAAAAAGCTGTTCGCACTCTTCTCAGCGATTATTTCTCCTCTTTGTGCAAGCATCTCTTGAAAGTTAGTGGAGGATGTTACATTTCATTTACCTGCTTCTATTTCTCTTCCTTTTTATTTTTCACATTGTCCCTTTGTACTTTTCTTCAGGACCACAGGGAACTTCAGGCACTTGAACGACAAAATAGACGTATCCTCCAAACCAAAGGTGAACTCAATGCTGAGCGAAAAGAACGCTTGGAAAATCTTCAGCAACAATATCAAAAGCTTTTGAATTCAGCTCAATCATTTGCTGATGTATTGGACCAGCCTATGCCCAAACTGCCAGAGGATCGTGAGTATCTTGAATTCAACCCCTTTAATGTTTGCTCTTGCAAAATTTCTTTCAATTCACATGAAACTTTATTTATTTAGCTATCAAATGTGAAGAAGAATCAGGATTGATTGTTAGTGGAATAGGTGGTTTTGGTGATGGAGAGGATGGAATGTTCTCTGGATCATCTGGACTGGTGGGTGGGCTGTGGGAAGATGAAGAGACACAAAGGTTTTATGAAGATTTCCCTAACATGAGAGATTACCTGCCAGGGATCAAATCTCGTGACAGAGAACCAGGATCTTCACCATCACCAACTCCAGTCAGCCAGGTAACACATGCTTCTTTTGTATGAATAGAAAAATAGACTGTCAGAAATATATAAACTTATTTCTGTAGGTGACAGAGGAGGTTTTGGATGCTGAGCTCAGAGAGGAAGATCTAGGGAATCCTGACAATGTAGAACCAGCAAATGTGGAAGATGGTACTCATCCTATTTTCATGAGAACATTGCTTTGAGGTACAGTCATTATTTTGAACTTTTCGTGTTATGTGGAAATTTTATTTTCAGAACCAGAGGAATCAGAACCTGCAAGCCAAGCCACCACTTCCACCAAACAGCACTTAGACCAATTTTTAAATCAACTCCCTAATTGTGTTAATCGGGAATTAATTGACAACGCAGCTGCTGAGTTTCTATTATCTCTTAATGCTAAAAGCAATAAACGAAAACTTGTGAGGTATGCTACAACATATGAATCCTTCATTTTTATTTCAATAGAAAATGTTACCTCCCAATGCAAGTTAATCTGGTCCATCTATTTCATCCAGAGTGCTATTCGGGGTACCAAGAACAAGGTTGGATCTGCTACCATTTTATGCTCGCTTGGTTGCCACGTTACACCCTGTAGTCCCTGAAGTTGCACAAGACCTTTGTCACATGCTCAAGCAAGACTTTATGTATCATGTGTGCAAAAAGGTGAGCTTTCCTTGAAACCTTGGATTACATTTGCATTCACTTATTTTTACCTACTTTGGCTGTGTAAAGCAAAATTTTTAAATCATGCTTATGAATTTTCCAGGATCAAATCAATATTGAAAGTAAAATCAAAGTTGTACGTTTCATTGGAGAGCTAGTAAAATTCAAAATGTACTCTCTGATAGAGGGTTTGTTTTGCCTAAAAGTTCTCCTGCATGATTTCACTCACCACCATGTTGACATGACATGTGCTCTTCTTGAAACATGTGGCCGATACTTTTTGCGCAAACCAGACTCACATCAACGCACGAAAATCTATTTAGTAAGTGACCCAGAGTTTCTTTTCAATATTTTTCTATTTCAATGCACTAATTTTAATGAATTGCAGGAGCAAATGATGCGCAAGAAGTCAGCCCTAGCAATGGATATAAGATATGTCACTATGATAGAGAATGCATTTTTCTTTGTCAACCCACCTGAGGGTGGACCTTTGAGAGTTAAAGAGCGGCCTCCCCTTCACTCTTTTATAAGAAAGATTCTATATCAAGATCTGAGCAAACCAACAACTGACAAGGTAACTTAATTTTAAAGACTGAAACATATTTTTAGAAGAGTCCATGTAATTTTTCCACTGAATTTATATTTTTTTCCCGTGTGCTACTCTCCAAGGTATTTAGACTGATCAGACGGCTTGATTGGGAGGACAAAGACTTGGCATCATACACTATTAAATGCCTTACTGCTGCATGGAATGTTAAATATTACAACATCAGATGCCTTGCAAGTCTTGTTGCTGGCTTAGCTGTTCATCAGGTATGAGTTTAGTTCAGGATAAAACACGCACAAATGCTTTTTTAAATGTCATAGGTGTGACTCTGACCTTTGATTATGCTTCTTTGATTAATCAGGAAAGTGTAGCACCTATGGTTGTTGATGGTGTTCTGGAGGATATTAGAGTTTGTATGGAAATTAATCATGTCAAACTGAATCAAAGAAGAGTTGCTATGGTAAAATACCTTGGAGAACTTTATAATTATCGTGTTGTAGAAAGCAATGATATTTTTAAGGTGAGTTTGTTTCATTTTACACTTCTGCTGAAAATATGTGAACAAAACCATCAAAATCTATTTTGCTGCTCTAGGTATTATACTCTTTAATCAAGTTTGGAGTGTCCCATGATGCTGCAAACCCCTCTCTTCTGGATCCTCCCGATCATTTATTTAGAATACGATTAGTGAGCACCTTGTTGTTCACATGTGGTCAGTTCTTCAACAGTGGACCCAGCAAGCAGAAATTAGACTATTTCATTGTGTTTTTCCAGGTGTGTTTATTATTTTCATTTTTATCTTGTATCTTTTGTGTGGTGCACAATTGAAGCAAATTATCATTAACTTATACATTTGCAGCATTATTACTGGATGAAGAAAGAAAGTGGTTACTGGGCCTCAGGAGATACTGTGGGTGCCCTCACTGGTGCAGGGGACGGACCTTCTCCCTTCCCAATGTCCATTGAGTACATGTTTGAAGATGCATTATTGGGCTTGAGGCCTAATTTGGTACTTGCCAAAACTTTAGAAGAAGCTGTAACAGCAGTTAATGAGTTAGAGACAAAACTTGTAGCCCAGTTGCCTAAATCAGTTGTAAGACTTTCACCTTATTTCTCTTTCATTTTTCATTTGAGAGTAGAAGTTAGATGTCTTGTTTTATTTGTGGATTGTTGCAGAGTGCTCCGGGAGATGGTGCAGACCTAGGAACTATTACTGAGGATTCGGAACGAGAGACTGATGGGGAAAAAGATGGCACAGACGACACCAGCTCAATGGATGGTAGGTATACCTTTTTGCCTGAGTTCTCTAAACTATAGATTTAAGTGCTAAATATTAAAGTCAGTTGAAATTTTCAGAAATGGAAGAGGACAATGGGGCTGACACAGCAGATGATGATGAATTTGACAACATGCTTGATGAAGATGAAGATGATAATGAAAATGATGATGATGAAGATGAAGAAATGTCTGACTCATTCATGACAAATGATGAAGGAGATGTAGTGAGAATAAAACGAAAGGTATCCTATCCATTCAAATTTGAAAATACCATTGTTGGATGTATTTTTAAAGTTGACTTTCAAAGTATCTACTTTCTTATGGTTCTGTTGTTGTTCAGGAACAAGAAGAAATTAGCCATGAAGATAAGGAATTTCTGGAAGAACTTGAACAGATGGTGTCGTGTAGTATTCAGGATCATGCCCGCAGTACAACTAAGCCACGGCATATGCATATCTCTATCCCATTGCACATACGAACAAACCACAAAAAAACATATGGTAACATACTTTTTAGACCATCAGGCTTGAAATAATAATGTGGTATGTAAGTCACGAAAAACATTCTTTCTTACAGAGCAACTCCAAGAAGCCAATGAGAATGTTAGTGTGGAACAGAATACTATGAACTTCACTCTTCTTACTCGAAGGGGAAACAAACAAGCATTCCGGAATCTTTCAGTACCTGTTAGCTCTGAGTTAGCTTTGAATTTGCGTAGCCAAGAGCAGGTACAAAAAGTAAAAAAAATAAAAAATACACTATGTTTAATGATACAAATTTTTTTTTAAGTGTTGTGAATCTAGATGCTTCCTAATGGATTACCCACTGCTTTTTCTAGGCGGAACGTATGGAAATGGAGCGTGTCAAGCGACTTACCTTAGATATTAATGAAAGATTGGAAGAAGAGGATTACCAGGACATGCTTGCATCGGTATGTCTCTCAACGTTGCAAATTAGTCTCTAAGAAATTTAATGGGTAACATAATGCAGTGGCTGTTTTATTTTTGTAGATTCAGCGTCCTGCAACTGTTAATCTGAACAGAGAGAGGCGTAATCGGTACCAACATCCCAAAGGTGCACCTGATGCTGATCTCATTTTTGGTCCTAAAAGAACGAGGTAGCACCTGATTTTGTAAGGATTTTTACATCTATACTACCGCCTAATTTACTTACAACGATCTCGTCAGAACAGCTGTTTTGTTTCCAAATTTGTTTTGGTATAGTACTATGAAGTTTTAATGATTTTTTTTACACATTTAATGAGATGTGACTTTATAAATCTTGTGATGAACTATGAAGGTACTTTATTCATGGATTTTCATAATCAGTCTTGTTTTTAAATTTGGTAACTTCACTGCTATCACCAATCATCATGGGTTCCTCTCCGAGATAGGTACATTTGTTTGTGGTTTTCCAGGTGAAATAAAACAACATATTAATGTAGCATTTCTTTCATTCAATGTTCTCATAAGACAGTGATATAAAGTGCTTTCAAGGAAAAAGCTAAAAGCAGGAAACAAGTAACTTGTAATTTGGTTCCCTCCTCAACACATGTTTGTCAAGAAAGGAAAGTAATCACCCAAATAAGGCAGAGCCTGTCATTGGAGTAATGAAATTAAAGTCCAATTAATAATTTATAAAGCACAACTGTTTAAGTCAAATTGAATAATTGGTTTACTTCTTTGGAGCAACATTTCAACCTATAGGTGAGTCATTGTTGAAAAGACTACATACAATATTTTCATCTGTTGACAGTGGAACAATGGTCCCTTTTTCATAGAACAATTGTAATTACACCTGATGACAACAACAGTTAAAGGGAGACTCGCTGAAGGGTCAAATCCTTTATAAAAGGCACATGATTGGCATTTCTAAGTGCTTCACACATCACAAGATTTTCAATAAATTATCTTAGCTTAGGATCTGTGAATAAATGAACATAGAATGATCATGATCAGTCATAATGCAAAAGTGCCTGCAAACCTACCTACGCAAACACTAGGCATGGATGCACAATAGCTTTGCAGTGGATGAAGCAATGACTACTAGTATACAGGAGTTTAATACAACATACCTCTACTTCAGAGCTATTGCTGAGCAACCCTGCTTATTTGTTGTTTTTGTTTATCCTGCATGATTATCATTCCTTATCTTTTATTTTAGGGGTGGGGGAGGCAGGGGACATTATATTTAACATTGGAGATGGTTCCATACTCGTGAGAGTCCCCATAGGTACATAAAATCACAGAGGAAGATCTAATGTAAAAAAACTGCAACACAGGAAACAACTACCCAACACTCAGTACAAAAATGTGAAGAATTAAGTCAAGGGACCACATATAAAAACAAGCATTACAGCTTTTTAAAAAAAGTAAAAATATCATGAGATTACTATCTATCACATAATGCCACAAAAAATTACCATTTAAAAACTTAAAATTAAAAAACAGAAAGAAGGAAACATGACACAAGATCATCACAGAGTTCATGGAAAATTAAACATGGAATCATATCAAGCAAATATTATTAATAAAAATAGATAAAAGAATAAATAGAGTCTAAGAAGCTCATAGCAGCTCTGGCGTAAGTGCTGGAAAGTCAACACACAAATAAGGTGGAAGAAATAATGTGGAAAATGTTCCTGTAGTGGGAATGCCATCACCCCTCAGCATCAGCTATTGATGCTGACACTATATTCCCATTGTACGCATAATCAGCCTTGTTGTGCATAATGAGTTGGTTATCAACAAAGTAAAACGAATCTGAGCGAGTTTCAAATGGATGGTTGATCATGTCTCGGACTGGAAAATAAAACAAATATCTTAGCCATTTTGAGGAGTTACACTTGACATGGTAACATCACTCTTAATGTACAGTAGAGCACTTACTCAATTCCGGTGCAAGAGGAGGAAACTCATAAATGTGTTCACAAGTGTTGGTGCTGAAGGGAATACAGAACCCAAACTCAAAGTCAAAAGTCTTGAGTAGCTTGTCTCTGAAGAAATGCCTCTCAATCATGCGGAAGTTATTTACTGGCAATGCACCAACTTGAAATTCAATTCTAAATTTGGAAGCAACAATAAATAATTAAAAGTTTGCATTCCTCGCATATTTGCAATATAAGATTCAATATAAATTCAACCCACGTGGATCCAACTGCTTTCAGCTTCAAAAAGTTAGGAGTGAATTCATAACGAATAAATCTGCCTGCATTAGGATCTGGTTCATCTTCTTCTGTGGCGGGCTCCACAATATCTGTGTGGCAAAATAACACACAAAAAAAAAACATTTGCAGTTAAAAATAGTTTTGAATAATGAGCAAGTCAGTACTACTTACCTCCAGGCTGGGGCTTCGCAATTTCGAAGAGTACTGTGCCAGTTTCCAAATCCCGAATTTGAAATCTGATGAAGTCGATGCCAAAAATATTTGCCTCAGGAGAGCACAAGTACACTGGAGATATAAGTTTAATTAAATGACAGAGAAACGACCAACAAAGAATGCCTTACAGTCATAGCCCAATTTTAAGGATGTTACCTTTTAAGTAAAGCTCTAAAATTACACAAAATAAGGTAAACTTACCATCAGAAATTCGGTTCATCTTCAAGACATCTTCAGGTGTAACTGCGGGAAACTTATTTTCTTTCTCTGCATCGCCTAAAAAAAGTGCACGGAGCTTTAAGATGACAGTGGTGGTGATAGGATCAAATGATAAATTGGCTTGTGACAGGTGCAAATGCACTCTCAACAAACACAAAGAAGTGTCACATTCCCCTCCCTTACCTTTCTCCACATTCTCTTGACCTGGAATCAAATCTGCACCGTTTTTTCGTACTAAACTCATTTTCTGTGGAAACAAATCAATTTTCTGGAGCTAACACGTTAGATCGACGGTTTGATTCACGCCTGTCATGAATATCTCATGAGTAAAGTCTGTAAGTCCAAGAAAAAGAGACTTGAAATTACAACCAAAACATTTCCTAGCAGACGATTTCCTTTCAATGAATGACATCACATTATTGCGATTGTCATTGCTTTTCGTTCTCTATGAAAAACACACTTGTGTTGCCTTTTTGTGCGATGGTTTAACAATAGCCAACAAATGACAAGGTTCAAGTAGGTACAAGTTGTTCTTGAAATATGAACAGTTTTAGAAATAAAAAGAAAAACAATCATTTTACAACCTTTTAATCATTTTACAACCAACAAAATTTTTAGTTTACGCTCAGTAAGTTTCTCATACAGCATGTCTTCTGCTAGAAGGGGGACCTAACCTCCTACAACATAAAATTCATGGGAGGTTTTGACGCTAAACAAGGATGTCTTTCTTCATTACAACCGTAGCGTTTCAGTTGAAAGCTATCAGTTCATTGACGGCAACTTGTGGAAGCTGTATAACTCAAGTTAGATTCGCTCAGAAGAAGTTTCCCTCCTTGTACGACCAGCTGAAGAAACCTCGACCTGTGGCAGGAACACCTGGAGTTTGTCTCAAGCGGATAGTATATTATGAAGATGAATACACAGTGAAACCACTCAAAGTTAAAGGTCTTGGCGGTCGAGATCCCGTCACTGGGAGGAAAATAATTCAAGGATGGGGTGGTGGAATCAAGCACAAATACCACTGGGTTCAGTTCAATCGACAAGGCCCAACCGAAGATGTTCCACCAATTGAGGAGAAGGTGATACAACTTCTTTTCGATGGAAATAGAAGTGCAAGGCTGGCGCTTGTTGCCGGAGGAGATCAACTGAAATATTACCTGGCAACAGTCAACATGAAACCTGGTGATATTCTTCGTACGTCAAGCTACATCCCACCTATTCCCGTCACTCCGAATGAAGGGGATGCATATCCACTAGGTGCACTTCCAGAAGGTACTTTGGTGCACAACCTCCAGAAAACACCCTCTAGTGATCAAAGATTACTCCATGCTGCTGGTACTTGTGGAACTATCATTAAGAAGTCTAAGGAGCATGTCATTGTCAAGATGCCCTCAAAACATGAATTTTTATTGGATCCCAAGTGCATGGCATGCGTAGGTAGGATAGGCAACCTGGAGCATGCTACAACTCCTATTGGAAGCGCTCCGAAGTGGAGGCAACTCGGATTCCGTCCACGTTCTGGTCTGTGGCAGCGTAAAACTGGTCGATTTGGTCGCAAGATTCGTGCTCCCAAGAAAATTGTTTGCCAGAATACAAAGGTGCCCATTCCTCGTTTCAACATGGATGAGTAATTTAGGACTGGAAAAAATTTATACTGCTATGTAATTAATGTAAATTGAAAATAAATATTGGCATTTTGATAAATTTCTTGTTTTACTCCATAATGCTTACCCTTAGTAAAACAACATTACATTTACTAGAAAGAAAAGTTGTTTGTTAAAGTATTACTAAGACAATCATTTAGAGACCTTTAATCAAAATCAAAATGGAACAACAGCAGACCTATGGGAAGGCGAAGGCCCCTGGTGATGAGGAGCCTTTGGTTCATTGGCATGTTTCAAGACCGGTGGTGACCTAGAAGGCACACCCAGAGAGATTCAGCCCCTGTCGGCCTAGACAGCTAGAGCCCTGCGAAAATGTATAAATGGCATCAAGACGAGAGTGCTCAGCAGACTGCCGCCCCACTCGAAAAGATCGAGTGCTGCGAAGGTCGAGTCGAGTCCTGGGAACAACAGGCATTTTTCAGACGCAAAGTCTGTGGTCATCGGACGCAACAGCGCGACTACTCTTGGTTTTCCATACGACATTCGCTGTCATGTCCGATGACCATGAAACTGGACGTCTCGAGGCGACTGACAGGGTGGCACCCCTGTCAGGGAAGTACCAGGCACGCGGTCGGTGTTCGAACCAGGGGCACTCGCACGGAAGCACTCGGGTCTTTGTTGCTAGAGGGTCAACAGACGCGTCGTTCTGTCTCTGTTGTACTCATGTCGTCTCCCGTGAGGGTGCGAGAGAGTGATTCTTCCGAATCACTTGCCTGGCCAATCACGCACATCAATTTAAATGACACGTCCTTGACGTGCGCGCGCCTCGCGCCTTCCCTCGCACTCCGGCGGCCCGCGCCGTTCCGTGTGCCGTTCAAATTATCGCCGTCATACGGCCGGCACCAAACACTCTCCCACACCTGCCGCAAACAGAACCAGCCAGCCCTCCGGCCGCCAAGTCAGTCACAGTGTCGCAGTCGCGGGGCGCGATAGCAGCATAGCAGCGGCCGCTCCGTGCCCCATCACATCAGCGCGACGCGACGACGGCACGACGCGCCGCACGCACGCACCGCGCGAGTGACATCACCTTTGACCGAGCCTCTAGGCTCTAGCGACCACTATCTTGCCGCGCCGCGCCACGGCCGCGACACGCGCTGCCAGCGATCAGCGAATCCCACGCAAACACCTTGCTCATTGCCCATTGCGGCCCGTGCCGTGTCCGTGTCGCTCCACGCTTTTTGTGGGGCCGCCCCGCCAACCCTTTGCCTTGCCCCGCCAGCCCGTCCCCGTCCCGATCCGGCCATCCCCGGACGAGACAAATGACAGTCGAAGCAGTCGCAGCCCGTCGAGTGCCCGTTTGAGTGCAGTCGACGTCCAGGACCTGGGCCTACCTCAAATTTTGGGATTTCTGGTCAAGCGACGGAGGGATTGTGGGTTTTGCACTGCATTGGCGAAAGCGGGTGTCGAGCAAAATCCTAGACCATGGAAATAGAAGACTTTGATCAGTGCGTGAAGGATTGGGAGGACTTATCAGCTGAGTTCAAAACTTTGGAGGTGAGTGGTGGGGTTATGACTTGCTTTCCAACTGTCTACGATTTTACCTGCCTCGCACCTCCTTGTCATGAATTTTCATCGCCTTATTAGTATGTTTGCCCTGCATTTATGCCTACGAAGCTCGCAATGCGTGAGAGAAAGGGGTTGAGAAAAGCTCACAAATTTTAGATTTCAGATGTCACCTTTATTTTGTTTTCTCTGGCAAAAAAAAAATGGTAAAGAAGGTCACACTATCGGAAATTACTGTTTTCCAAATAAAACCATTATAAACACAAATAGCTCTTTATGAGACTACAAATTTTCAGTTTATTTTCATATCTTGCTTTGCTCAATTTACTGTATCACTTTCACTTTGTGTTGTTCTCTATGGTATCTAGTTTAAGCTATGATGTTTTGAATTCCTTTCAGAACGCCAATAGAGAGTATCTGATGAAACTTGATGAGGTTGGAGAACTTCAGGGAAAATGTGTCAAAGAATTAACTCACCAACGCTACAGGATGTCTACTCTGACACGATCATTAAAGCGGTAAGACTTCTTTCTGTTTTAACTTTAAAAAAAAACAAAAAAAAAAAAACACTTTGTTTAGTCAATATATTTGGACAGATATAACTAATGTCAATTTGCATATTTCAGGTTTCGAGAAAGTGGCGATAAGGCAATCATTGAGAAAATGAATAAAGATATGTCGCGGAGAGAGGCCCAACTATCAGAAATAGAACAAACATTACCCAAAGAGAATGGTCTTTACTTGAAAATAATTCTAGGCAATGTTAATGTCTCTATCTTGAATAAAAATGAAAAGTAAGCTATTTTGATTCAGAACTTTAGTTAATTGATAAAGTAATCTATTTATTCTCTAACATTAAACTTGATTATTGCAGGTTTAAGTACAAGGATGAATACGAGAAGTTTAAGCTAATTCTAAGTGTCATTGGCTTTGTGCTATCTGTTATCAACCTTGTCACCAATTTCAGGTAATTATTTTCAAAGACCACAATTTAAGACAACCCTTTATCTTATCTTTTTATGAAGGGTTATCATTGTACAGGGCTGTGTCATTGAATGGAGGCACCTCCACAACTCTCCTTTGCTTACATGTTTGACATCCTCAAAAGGCATGAATTTTTCACGCTAATATTTGTGTTTATTTAACTGATTAATATTTATCTTGCAGGGCACTTGAACTTGCATTTTTATTCCTCTTGGTGTGGTATTACTGCACCCTTACGATTAGAGAAAGCATTCTTAAAGTGAATGGCTCTCGAATTAAAGGATGGTGGCGCCTTCATCACTTTATCTCTACAGTGCTCTCTGGTGTTCTACTAATTTGGCCAAACAATACCGCATGGTACCTGTTTCGGCCACAATTCATGTGGTTCAATTTGTACATCAGTACGTATTTTAGGTGCCACCTGGACGTGGTTTTAGTTGACTTTGAGCTTTGTAACCTAGATCCATTGCATTAACAGCTTTTTTTGTGTACCTCCGCTTGTTCCCATTTTAAAGCATCTTTTCTTTCAGGTTGTGTGCAATACCTTCAATTCCGGTACCAACAAGGAGTACTGTATCGGTTGAAGGCATTGGGCGAACGACATAACATGGATATTACTATTGAAGGCTTCCACTCTTGGATGTGGCGTGGGCTCAGCTTTCTCTTTCCCTTCCTTTACTTTGGCTATATCCTGCAAGTCTATAATGCCTACACTCTGTACAAGCTTTCTTACCATGAACATGCCACATGGCAGGTAAATAACAAATTTTATTTAGACTTGACTAATGTCTGTGTTCCATCTTTTGTTTTTGCTTTTTTCTTAGCTCCTAATGTACCTACCTTCTCTACCTTTTTTTAAATTTTAGGTGCCTGTGACATCATTTTTGTTTTTTATCCTATTCCTTGGGAATACGATAACCACTTCTATGGTTATTCCCCAAAAGCTGACGGACAGGACTCTGCAAGCTCTGTGGGGGAGTAAACAGACTCCAGGGGAAAAGGTATGTACTTTTTCAGTGGCAGACATCTATCTCTGACTTCTTGCTCAACAAAGTTTTGTAATTCTACTTGAATTTCAGGATGAAGCAAAATCGAGTGGCAACAAGAATGATTAGTGCACCAAAGAAGAGGAGCAGGATATCTTTTCTGTCTTCCTGGAATTCGTCAGTTTCATAGAGTATGAAGCAATCCTGTAACAAAGGCTATTTCATTTCTTAAGAAAAAACTTAAAAGCCCCCATCAAATAGTTGCTCAAATTCTCATTCAATGAGTTTTTTTTTTACAATTTTTTAAAACTATTGCAACCAAGAGAGGGGGAGGAAGAGACAGATGAAGATGGTATTTAATGGATGACAAATTACTATGTGATAAGCCTTCTGTGGTGGGATTTTTAGGATACATGTGGTGATGTGTAACTTTCTGGACTGTTAGATGTCTGTGGTTGTACTGTGATAAAGTTGTCTTTGTTACATATTTTGCATGGAGTTGTCATGAACAAATCCATACATAATTCAATTTGGAAATTGTTAAAAAAAATAAATAATTATGCTTTGAGAAGTTTTTACCTCAATATATTCTGTCGTCACAAGATGACAAAGAACTATTGCTATGAAATGGTATGCTCGGTTCTGGATGTCTTGTTAATTTTAGTTGATTTTTCCTTCATCGAACAAGTGTGACTGAAGATGGACTCGATTTCTAATTCAGCTGTTAAATGTTTTGTCTAATTTTCTTGGCTGTGTTCAGTGTGAAAGCTGTGTTCGACGTTCTTGTGCAATGTACTTTTTAAAATTTAGTGAAAACTAATTTTTTTAACAATCTAACTTTTGTTCTTTTATTTACATTGCCTTTTGATGCTTCTGATCTTCGTGCTGATCAAGTTCAATCAGCCAAGGGCAGGTCTTATTTTACTATAAAATAACAACCGCATATTTTTTACAGTTTGCCTTGTAGCCTTTAAAAGGCAATGAATTATTGAATTTATGAAACATGAATGTTTGTGTATTGTGAGTTGAAGGACTGTAATGAAACATCGAATGTGTTATGTTTAAGAACCTTTTTTTAAAATGTTGTTCTGCATCCATTGTTTTAATACCACAGTTTGATGTGGCAAAAATTATATTGAGTGAGCATATACAAATTCTTAAACCCATATCATCGACCATTCCCACATGGTCTCTTGATGCTCTTACCTTATTGTTACTATACTGTCACCTTGATGCTGGTTTCTTAATGATGGAAATTCCTTTGGATTACAATGTCACTCCCCTGTATTTGATTGTATATTCTTTGCAAGAATTTCTATTATTGAGTGTACGGCAAGTTATTCCCATCGTTAGATTGCATCGCTCTTGTTCCACCGACTGGAGAGAAAGATTTACTGGTAGATACAATGTCAAACTATGACTAACCAATTGCTGTAGAGGACTGATTTGAGCTTTACTTTACATACCTCAATGCATTTCAAGTAATGATTAATTGTGTGATGATATCTGTTTTTATTTGTCATTTCAAGCAATTTGATACCTCATTGCCATTTCATTCCTTCCTGAGAAACAGTTTACTTTTTCCAAAGGTGTCTTGATTGTCTTCATGGACTCCTACTTAAATCGTTTTTTAACCCAGTGAATTATAGTTTATGTCCATGGAAGTTTTCAATAAGCAAGATTTATTGCCTCTAATGTACTGTCCAAATTAGTGTGAAAGAAATTTCTTTTATTTGACTGTTGAAACAGTGGTGATAACTTATTTTACTTTTTCATCCCATCCTCTCTTTGTTGCACATTCTGCACTCATCCAATGAAACTAGCCCTTCTGTATTTTTTGCTCTTCTGGGAAACTGATATTTTGTTTTAAATATTTCAGAATTCCATTGTACTTTTTTATTTCATCTAGTGTATCTGCCAACTTAGTCAATTATGTTCAATTTTGTGTATTTTAAGTTTCCCAGTGTGATGAAGACGGTCTAGCATAAATGCGCTGAAATGTGCGATTGGGTATTATGGCAGTTGTCGCTGCTACGGTTGTGCCTTCCATTTCTATATGTTTTGTGTTTTCTGTATTATATCATGTCCCCTCTTTTCTGTGTCTTATTTTTATTTAAATAAATATTAGATCTAAAACGCGCTGTTGGTGTTCTCTGTGTGTCTTTCCCCGTTCTGAGAGCAATCCATTGGTGGGGTCACACGTTCGGTTCGAGTCCCATTTAGCGACTCTGGAGCTCAAAACGCGTCTAGAGTTTTGGCCGCCTCCACCGGGCCGGGGCTGGCAGGCTAAGGCCGGGCGGGGTGGGGTAGGTCGTCGTCCTCGGTACAGTACAGTGTGCAGCCAGAGAGGGGAATGCGCCAATCCGCGGAGGGCTGCGCTGGGCTGGGCTGCGAAGGACGGCAGTCGGGGAGTGAAAGGCGAAGGGAAAGGGACCGGTCGTGTGGCACCGTGGCTGTGCCGTGCCTCCGGCTTCAGTTTTCGCCTCGGACCGGCGGCGTGCAGACGGTGCAGACCTGCCCTGCGCAACCGGGGGGCCCTTGCCCTGCCTCGCCCTTGCCGCGCGCGGGGGGCGCCGCGGCCCCTCGGCCAGCCTTGCCTTCGCGGGGCCCCATTTACTTTGCAAACGCGTGCAGGCTGATTCCGAGCCGCGCCTCGTCGCTGTGTCCCTCTCGCACCCACACGACGGAGCGCCCCCCGAGTGCGAGAGAGTCGGCTTGCCGGCTCATGGCGCCCGTGGCAGTAGTGGGACCCGCGGCCATTAGTCATTCAACCCAACGTGCTCAGTTCCAAGTCCCGACCGCCGATTGGTCCGATTTGGACTTCTTTTGGCCGCCGTGCCGCGGTGCATCTGCCTATGATTGCGCGGTCATAGCCGGCGTTGGTGCCGCGACGGGACGGCCGCGGTGGCGCAAAAACAGTGCTATTTCCACGCGCGAGTGTTTCAAGCCTGAAGCGAAGCAGTGAGGCTCTCAGCCATCCCAATTTCCATTCCCATTGGCAGTGTGGGACTGCGGTCTTGGTCTCATAAACGCTTTGTTGTGACGACGGCACGGGCGGCCCGGGCTGGATTCGCCTGTTTGCCCACGGCGTTCGCACCTGCAGACTCGTCCCGAACCGCGTTTCCGTCGCTCTGTCTCTCTCGCACTCATGGGTCGTTGCCTCGGGGTGTGAGAGAGACAGCGGCAAAACGCGGTTTGGGATCGGTCTGCTGGCACCGCTCTTGACGCACGAGCTTCGCTTTGCATACGCCGCCTCGCGCTGATCCAGGGCCATAAAGAGGCCGCGGAGTCGAACCTTTGTTTGATTGGGCGGGGCAGGGGCGCGGTCTATCGGAAACACCGGCTCAGGGACAGATGCGCGTAGCGCGTAAGTGTGGCAGAAGAAGGAATGGGGTGTCAAAGAGTTCCCCTTCAAAAACGGAGTGCCGAGGCTCGGACATGGAGGCTCATTCTGAGAGTCGTTTTCGTCGCTCTGTCTCTCTCGCACACGGGACGCCACGAGAGAGCGAGAGAGCGAGAGAGACAGAGCGACGAAAACGACCCTCGGAATCAGTCTCCTGCTCGGAGCCGTGGAGCGCGCCAGCTGCTCAGCACTGCTCAGTCGTGGTCTGGCCCGTAATGGTAATGGTAATGAGCTGCGCGCCTGCAGCCTGGGCCGCCCGCCACACTGCCGTGTGCGGAGCCCCGGCGGCTGCCTACCCGGCAGGCGCTCCCCGCTGGCTGGGCCGGCGCCGCGGCGACGGCGTAACCGCGTGGGCCCTGCCTGCCCAGTCGAAACCCTCGCTTCCGTCGGTCGGGAAATATCTTGCCGATGCCGCAAGCCTGCCTTTGATGCCTGCGAGGTGCCTGTGAAGTGCCAGTGCCGGCCCAACTACTCGAGCACTATCGCCTCTCGGGGGACTGTGACCGATACAGTGGCGCGGATCAGCGGCTCATGGGCCTCATCGCCTCGCTGCTCTGTCTCCCGTCGCTCTGTCTCTCTCGCACCCGAGCGGGATGCCCCGTGAGTGCGAGAGAGAGAGATGCCGATAGCGCCACCGGGAGCCCTTAGAGCCCTTCGGTGTGTCGCAAGAAGCACTCCACGTCGGAAAATGCCGCGCCACTGTCCTGGTTAGGCTGCTCCGTAGTCTGATCCCGAGCACTGCTATGTCTCTCTCGCACGCGTGGGCCATCCCGTAAGGGAGTGAGTGAGACAGCTCGGCCTGCCGGCTCACCGTCGCCACAATTACGGACGATCTGTCCCTTCGATGGACGCGGCCAGCCCGATAACAGAGGCTAACCTAAAAAAAGACAGAAATTAAAAAACGGCTCGGAACTTGGTTAAAAACAGGGGGACTTGTGTTTCGGACCTCGTCGCTTTGTTTCTCGTTCCGTCCGCTTGGCTTGCATCATGGCGGCCGGCACTGCCGCGGTGCCTCGCTGTGCCTGGCTGTGCCTCGCTGTGCCTACGACGGGCCGGACGGAATTCGCGGAGGTCAAGAGCGGCAGGGCTGGTCTGGGCGGTCTAGGCGGTCTAGGCGCGGCCTGTGCAGGCCTCCGATGCCCCCAGGCGCGACCCGTGGCCATGCGAGTTACCATTGTCTTCGGGGCCGCCCAGGAGCCTGAGTCGATTCACAAAACTGTCTGTGGTGATAGTGGACTTTTGAATGTCGGCATTAGATCAGAACCGCGGGTACGAATCCACACGCTGTTTCCTCAAACGGAGGGATAAAAGGAAGCAAATTTTTTTTAGCGTGAAATTTTTTTTAAAACAAATTATTATTATTTGTATTACCGTTTTGAAACTAACCCAGAGTCTAACACAGCATAATCTAATTTTCGCCCGACGGCCAGCTCGGCCAGCGTCGCGCCCGTCGCGTCACCATTGTTCGTCACGTTGCCCTACTCGTTGCCCCAGCCGATCGGCCGGACGCAGTTTCCGACCGTTCTGGGAAACCGCGATAAGTTTTTTAGGGTGTGCCGCGCCGGCGCGCCGCAGGTTCCCAGTGTAGGTGTCAGGAACATTCATTGTAGGGCCGGGAAATAATACGCACAGGAAGGGCGTAAATAGACACACAGGGCTCGGCGGAGTGTGCGAGAGAGACGGAGAAATCGAGCTAGAGACAGAGCTAGAGGCAGCAGATGCGATAAACAGCGGAGTTCGTTGAACCGCGCGGCCCGGCCGGCGGCCCGGCGTAGCTGAGGGCCTAGCCCAGTCAACGACTTGCATGGTTCGCCCAACGCGGCGGTGATGCAGCGGGGCCTGGGCCCTGGGCCTGCCTGATGGCCTGCTTCGCCTGGCCCGCCGAGGCCCGCCTAGGCCCGCGCAGCACAACGACTCCCACCCGCATTCCCGAAACACTACACTGCCGCCAAGACTCCTTGCAGTGCCAGAGAAACGTCCTGCGACTTTGCGTCGCTTTGAGGGTCTGGCTGCATGGAAACCTTACTCCGGATGTTGCGTCTTCGAGGACAGTGGGCCAGAAGACCAGTGGATGCGACCAAAATTCTAGACGCGTTTTGAGCTTCAGAGTCGCTAAATGGGACTCGAGCCGAACGTGTGACCCCACCAATGGATTCCTCGTTCGGAGAGCAATCCATTTGGTAGGGTCACACGTCCGGTTCGAGTCCCTTTTAGCGACTCTGAAGCTCGAAACGCGTCTGGAATTTTGGCCGCCTCCACCGGTGGCCGACTGTGGACCGAGCCACTCGTTTAGGTGTGCGGTTGATCCGAGTCCATCTTAAAACTACATGACCGTTTCTTAGCGCGCGGAGGGTTGTGAGTGAGGAGCAAACTGTGTCCGGTGAAGGCCTGGTGTCGACAAGACTCCAGGCCTGGTGGGTTCGACTCCCATCGGCGGCCTCTTCTACTCGCACCCTTTCGCCGATATTAGAGCATTTAGAAACCGTCCACCGGTCATGTAGTTTTATGAACGAGTCCTTCGGGGCGGACAGGAAAATGACCCATAAAAATCTTAAAAAAAAAAACGGTTGACGCTCGTGTCATTTTGTTGCTCTAGTATTCACGAACTTTGTACGCGGCAAACCCAAAGTTGTCGTGACTTCCCGTGCGTGTCACGGACACTGTCACTGGGCGACACACGCTGCGATCTGCTGCGCGATTCCCGTCCAAAAACGGGAACCAGGTCATGCCGGCGTCCCTATGACATTATGTCCACTCCGTCCACTTCCCCGCGTTATGGGCTGCTGAACAAACGCGGCCGTCATGCCCGGAACGTTGGAGTCGGTGTAGTTTGGCTGCCCTTTCTGACGGACTCCGAGAGCAGTTTTCGTCGCTCTGTCTCTCTCGCACTCAGGGGGCGTCCCGTATAGGTGCGAGAGAGACAGAGCGAAGAAAACGATTCTCGGAATCTGATGCTTCCGTCCGGCCGCCTGGCGGTTAGGCAGCAGGGGGCCAGGACGCGGCCACCTGTGGAAGGGCCTGCATGAAGGCTTATGCTTGCTGGATGGATCACAAATGATCGTGGGCCAGAAATTCAGACCCGATAAATGCGCCCCTGTGGTTTTCTTCAAGTCTCTCGGATTCCGAGAGGTCCCGAGAGGCATTGCCGAGTTGTTAAACCAACAAAGCGCCGGTTTGTGTTACCTCATGGCGCATCCCCAACATTCTCCTCACGACTCCCAGGACATTTTCAACCCAGTCAGCGTGCATCGAGGTGTTCGGTCTGGTTCAGCGACCAGCAAAGGCCCGTCTTTTGGAAGTGAGGTGCTCTGGGTGGGCTGCTCTGTGGCCCTAGGCTCGCCTGGTGCCTTTCGGGACTTGGGAACGCTCATGGACCGGGCGGGGCCTGGCTCATGGCCTGGCTCATGGCCTGGCCCTGCGCCATGCCACGCCACGAGCGCCGCCATTGCCGCCATGGACAGGGCGACCATGGGCAGGGCCGGGTGAACGGCCGGTAGGACGGGCTGTGGGCCCTGTGGGCTCTGTGGGCGTTCACTGCACCAGCGGGGCCGGCGGGGCCGGCGGACCTCCTACGCCCTAGAACGCCAGCGCCGCGCTCAAGAGTGATTCCGAACATTGCTCTCGTCTGTCTTTCTCACAGGGCGTTCCGTGTACATGCGAGAGGGGCAGAGATGAGAGGCTGCACGGAGTCCTGCAGCACCAACGCCCGATTCAGATGAACGGAGTAGGCTGTGAG